TCAAGCAGATTTGCGTATATTTATATCAAATGGAAGGCTTTATGATAGTTAATATTAGTCCTTCAATTAACTTTGTAATGAACATCAAAATTAGGAAAAGTCGAGAGGAGGAACAGAAGAGAGTGATTCAGGGTTGTGAAAGAGACATACAAATACAAAGGCAGTGGAAAAGGTGAGGTGAGTATCGTGGGTGTTGAACTATGGCATGCAGTCGGGTCATGTTAGTTTGAAGTCAGAAGTCAAATGCCAGTTAATAGACTTTTTGCTGTCTGAGTATACATTGCCCAGGTGCACCACGTGGAGGTAAGTCCATAGCACACCTCGGTATGAGAATATCAATTTTTTGGACTTGACAAACTGATCTCGTAGTAAATTCTGCATTTTATCGATCATTTGATCAAGTCAAATTGAAATGTACGCTTTCTAACTGAGTGTCATTGAATCGTCCAATCAATTTCAACCCACTCTTGCAATTACAATTTCATTCAGGCCGATATTTCACGGAACTGACTGAATAATAATTTTTCTTCTTCATTTATTTTCTGCCTATAACGGTGAGAAAATCTTGCATCCAGTGGAAGAAAACTTCCTGAAAGCGCGCCTCGAGTAGGACGTTCATTCTCTTTCTTTGTTTTCCATTCTGATATCCGAGTAATTGAGGAGGCAGTAGGTAGTTGATAGAAATTTGTGAGAACATTTATAACGCAGCATTAAACGTGAGAAAATGCCGGTGTCATCAAAAGAACATTCGGCTTTTTGTTGCAAAAAACAAACTAACATACCATTCGCCTGAAGCGCAAAATGTTCCATTTCGCGCTAAAAGGGATTTAATTTTGTCGGCACGCGAAATTGAGCCTAAATTGATAGTGAAATTTTTCTGGGCATTCCTTTACCTTAGTCCAACACATACTACGAGTATTCTTATTTGCCTTTTCCCATTAGAAATTAACATATTTGCATTTAATATTAATAAAGTTCGAATTCTGACTTATGTAAGCAATTGTTTCCAAATAATTATTGTCATGATTCAATTTATGCGATTTTATTTCCAAAACAGCTCAAGCTGGCAAGCAATATTAATCGAAGTTATAATTCAAAGAAATTAATTATTTCAATGAGAGAGCCACCCAAAACAGCTGAGGTAAACGAATGTAAAAAACTCTATGAGCTGCTGAGAGAGAAAAACAAAACAGTGGTCCTACAATGGATTCCTGGTCACTGTGGCATTAAAGGCAATGAGTTTGCTGACACACTTGCTAAGAAGGGGACAACGATTTTACAATGCATGGACCGGCCGATGTCTTTCCACACAATGAAGGCCTTAATCAGGAGAGAATTCAAGACCTCAAAGTGCAACGATCTTAAAGCTCGAAAAAAGGAGAAACAGTGGACAGTGGCACTCTCCGACATACCCGACTGGCCAAGAATCGANACTGAAAGTTAATTGTGGCGTAAAGCATTTGAACTTGAAATTAATATCAGTATACAATATGAGCAGTGGATCAAAAAGGTACAGTGAATTAATGGAATCTAACTGAATAGCTAGCTAGCAAGTTCGTCCGTGCTTTAATGTAAATTACTTCTCAATCTTTTGTGAACTAATGAGCAAAAAATATATTCACCTACCCTGCAAATTATATGTAATTTTAAAATCGTCAATATTTCCATAATAAATCATCAATTGTCATTCGATTGAGATATCCATATACAAACGAATTGTCATTCCTATATTTCATCAAATCTGTATAACTGCTCTCCGAAAACTTGTGGATTCGTTTAGCTCAAAAAATCGGTTTTATTCTAAAGTATAAGTTTATTTTATGACTTCATTACAAAAGTAATTTACTCGAATTTCAAACTTTGAGTATTAAAAACGAATTGCTCTTTCAAAATGTAGATTAAACCTGGTAAATGCTCTTTGGGCTCTTAAAAATCATGATAGTATTTAATCCGTAAAATTGCACTTTAAAGGGCTATGGGTCGATGAGAATATATGTCATTTCAACTTATTTTAATTGAACAATTATTGAAGGTATTTGGTATATGTTAAAAAATGTCTTGTCTTTTTTTCATAAATCAATGCGTGACTATAATATATTTTATTAGTTATACCCACGTCAACAAAAAATTGAATAATATGATATGGAAATGATGCGATAACACCAACGTTGTAAACAGTTTTGCATGGATAAGGAGACAGAATTTGAAAATGTTACACATATGATTATACAAAAGACCAATTTTTTCATTCCTATATTTTTCCCTTTTATTATTATACAATTATATTTCTTTATTATTTTAACAAAGACAGATCCAAGAACAAAGGCATTCGGAAGCACATGAAATACACTGCCACTAATTATTTATTTAAGTATAAATAAATACCAAATGATTAAAAAATACCCATTGCCCACTTTTTTGATTCACTTTGGTCAAATTTTGGTGGGATGCTTGGATATTGAAAAAAACGGTTATTCTATTAAAATAAGCTTAATATTTTGATGAAATTAATTCTTCCCAATATATGTTCTATCATTTTCCAAGTAGCAAATAATCTACGAATCAATAAATGGTCAAAAGTAATATGCTATTTTTAACCCTCATTAGCAATTATTTATTTCATTTTATTCCCTAATATTTATAAACTCCACCATGGAATCATTTTAAATTTGCTTTACCTTTTGACCTTTCCATAATTCGAATCATCCCTTTAAACTACATAGGTGATAATTGAGAAACGTTGACCCAGCNACCTACAGGAGAAAATGGAGAAAACCCACCCGATTCGGTGTCTAGCCCTAAAGACATCGACGGAAAGCCAGAGATACTGGGAAGCGAGAAGACAGCTAATGAACTACTATTAATTAACTGCTATACATGTGCCCCCCCCCCCCCCCCCCCCCCCCNCCCCAACCATGGGGAAAGCTGAAGCCAAAGTTTAAGGACAAATGATAAGTATCATAATGCCTGCCATTTGAAATAATAATTATTATTATTTCAATGACTGGCGAGTAATAATACTACGAGGAATGAAATCCAATTAAGTATTACATTTGTCTAATAATTTGAATTGTGGATTTAAATCCTTCTTTTGAGAAACTGAGTTGAATTGTTTCAGTGCACTCAAGCTTGAATGCTTCCGTTTTTATTGGCTTGTTAATTTTTTTGTGTCCTACGCCCACACTAAAATATTTAAGCCCACCAGTAGAGAAACAATCCCTGCAATTATTGGCCTATACGCCAACCAATCGTTTTACAAGAATTCGATTCCACTTTGGAGTATTAGGTCTTCTTTACTCTTGGAGTTGAATGATTTCAATTCATTTTAAAGAATCAAACGAAAGTGGATGATTTTAGTTTCAGTTGCTGGAACTGAACTTTAAATAGCATGCTCCCATCAAAATGAACCTCGTGAGTTGTCCGAATTGGATCTTAGATTTATAAGCGATGAAGGCGCTGAAAGCCATTTTTCAAGGTCAAAACTTTCCATTCGTTTCTACTTATTTTGTAAATTCAAGTTTTCACAAACTGACCTTTATTTATCCGATAGTAGATTAAAGCATAGAGCTTGATTTATCGATTAGTAGATTTGTTGTAGAATCTCGATCTTTTACCTAATAAAGCGTCTAATCGCTTTGTGTGAAAAACAAATTTATTTCATTCAAAATATAAATTCAATTTTATCAATTCCATTCAGCTACCACTTCAGGGCAAGAAGAAAGGAAGAGTTCGAGCGGTGAATATGCCAATAGTAAAATGAAAAAATATGATTTAAGAGCTTTTAAGAGGTAGATTTTCAAGCGGACTCCTAGTTACTTAATTTTTAAGTGAAAAATGACAATCTGATTAAAATAGGGAAGGGGGGAGGTGGGTGGATGAGGTTTGTCATACACAGCTAGATTTTATTAACGTATTTGATTTCCGATATTGCCCAATGATTAACTTAATTATTCTAGTGAAAATCGGCAGGACTGCAGTTATTGGAGAAATTAACAGACATGAGAAAAAAAGGGTTTACCGAAGGGAATTATTCCCATGGGTACAATTCCTTCGTAAATATATTGGAAAGGTGGAGCTAACAAAAGCCAATCTTTGCGAAACAAATACTTTTAATGAAATATTTTTTAACTGGCCAAATTGGATAATTTTTTGCACTCCGGCTTCGATTTTCTGCGTGAATTAGGAAGGTGTTTAAACACATGTACAAACACATACACTTTTTATAATTTTAAGAAGTGAATCATTAATACATTGAACAGACTTTAGGGGCAAAATCTCTAAGGAAAATAAAGCACTTTTAAGTCGTCACAAACATCAAAGGCTCGAAACCTGTTAATAGCACTGCAGACTAACACAGGTTAGTTGAAAACTCAAATTTAAAAATTTTAATTCCTCTTTTTAAATTGCCAAACTATCGTATTTTATATGAATGTACTATGTTTACTTTTAATTTTCGCTACATTAAAGACCGTTATTCCCACAATGAAAGCATTACTGCCTTAAATTATTTTGAATAACAACTATACTCACAGAAACATATCTAAGTGAAATCCCGATTATGGGGCAAAATACTACATTTTTAACAAAATAGCTCTTTAAGTACAGAGGGGTTCGCTTAAATCTAGCACTTGAAGTGACGCACATATTTGATTGGTTAACTTCCAAGCGGCATGTCATTGGTCATCTGCCAAACACGACTTTAGGATTTGGCCAATGATGAGAGGGTAAAAGTAGGCGCATGGGAAAAGACCACTTGGAGCGCACTTCCAGCTACCGATGTCTTCACTGGTTAAATATTCTTTATTCTTGCAATTCCAAATTACCATCAGTTTGATTAATACCTCGTCAAGTATTAGGTTGACAGTAAACTACTGCGAGCTACTCGCACCCACTAAAACCATTTACTCTTTTGCCAGTGATGAGTGAATCCACGAGCACACCAAGCCTTTTTCATCAACACTACCTATCGTTAGCAGTCATCATCGCCTACTCTACTCACAATGGGGAAGACCCTCATGGATGGTAAATCGAAGCACGAACGTCCCTCGCAATCCGAAAGTTTTGACAGTTTCCGTGGTATTAAGATGATAAATACTAGCAACAACTCTGGTTCCAATAGTCCTAATATTAACGACTCCCGACGAAATGTAGAAACCGCAAATCGGGCAGAATCCTACCAAATGCGTCCGACGACAACCACATCCCGACAAATATGCCAATCCCCTGATCCTGGAAGCATTGGCGAGGAAGATGAGGAGGGTTCTAGTGTGCAAAGTGATCCCCGATTTATTGAAGCGAATCAGCGTTTCATCCCTACAGCACCTCCACGAACTCAACTTACTGGAAGTCCAGAAAGGATTCCTACAAAACCAAAGTCTCGGCATCCCACCCAATCCTATGCTTATCCTAGACGTTCTAACCCTCCCCAACCTCATAAATATGGACGCCAGCCCTCTTCTCCACCAAGAAAAGATGATTTTAATGCACCACCACCTCCTAATGCCTCTTCTCCCAATAAAATGCCAACTTTTGTCAATGATTCGCAAGGTTTCATGGGTGGACTGGAAGTATCCCATAATCCCGATGATAAGTTGGACTGGTTCACTAATCTCCTTACAGTTCTTTCAATGCTTATCGTTGTTGTGACGTTTCCCTTTTCCATGATATTCTGTCTTAAAATTGTGGCAGAGTACGAGAGAGCAGTGATTCTACGAATGGGACGTCTTCTTCCTGGTGGTCAAGGAACAAGAGGTCCCGGTTTATTCTTTGTCCTGCCTTGCATTGATAGTGTAAGAACTGTGGAGCTACGAACAGTAACGTTTTCCATTCCACCTCAGGAAGTCCTAACCCGTGATTCAGTGACAGTGGCTGTTGATGCGGTTGTATACTATCGAATCTGTAATCCGGCTGTTTCCATACTGAATGTGGAGGATGCAGCGAGATCTACGCGGTTGCTGGCGCAAACTACATTGAGAAATGTGCTAGGAACTAAAGATCTAGCCCAAATTCTTATGGATAGAGAAGAGATGTCAGTAACGATGCAGTCTACGATTGATGCGGCCACAGAGGCCTGGGGTGTTAAGGTAAGTTTAATCAACTTTTTACTATATATGACCCCATTTAATGGCTCCACCAATAAATATATTCTTGAACAGGTGGGATTGAAAGTCATCGAATTTCCCTTGAAAAGTTAGGTCAAAGTAGGCCTAAAACACATCTCTGTTTTTTTCCTTAAATTATCTTTCCTGTCGTGTTTTCAAAATGACCTCCCCCATAAAATATTCTACATAAAATTTTAGTCCTAAGTTACGATGTGTTCCATTAAAGGTGGGGAAAAAGCCGACTTTTTTTTCCAGTGCATTTTAAATTTATGCTTTATCAAACTGAAGACCCTGATATTGAAAATGATGTTATTGTCTAAATCATCACTTTATGGTTTGTAGAGTTAATCAATTGTTTTGAGGAGATTGACATGATAACCATTTTGACAAACCAACCTTTAACGCCCTCTTCAAAATAATTTACACTGATTAAATTTCACGATAGGAGGTAAAATGCGTCAAATAAATCATTGTACTTAGACTTAGAATGAGGTAAACTAATTTTGTTTGCAGATTAAAATTGTGTTTTGTGGCATTCCCCAAAAATTATCACTTTTTGAACAAATGTCACACTCAGAAATGACTAACTTCACATGCATAACATTTGCTGGACATTTCATTAGGTTTAATGCAAAGGAGTAGATTCAATAATCTGTCTGGAGAGTTGCATCACTCTCTGAAACATTTTCAGCCTGAATGATCAGATAACCCCTCGGCATGAAATAAGTTTGCCCTAACCGATTTACAACTTTTTATGCGTCATATCCATGCCATGGTCTGGACAGCTGTTACACATCGGCTTAAATTAAGTGCCCTATAGCAGTCTCTTATGGCATATTCAAACGTTCGGTGTAAATATGCGTATAATGTCTTCGGAAACGCCATCAGACGATAAATTTCATTACTTATAATCAACTTATAATCATGTGCTAGATCTGAGTGGTCTGCATAATTGAATTATTTCAATTATTTTTGCCAACAAATCGTCCCGCCGTTAAATTGTAATCAAAACCTATTCCATTCCATCTAAATGCCCGAAATTGCCAGTAGTTATGAACATCGAAAATAGAATCGAGTATCGCAACAGTACTCTTTTGCGTATGGATGGCCAACGGGTCATCGACCAGAAATCTCTTATTGTTATGTGACGGCTTAGCAATAAACATATAATATATATATTGTTCTTTTATTATTACAGGTGGAAAGGGTGGAAATTAAAGATGTGAGATTACCAGTCGCTCTTCAACGTGCCATGGCTGCCGAAGCTGAAGCTACAAGAGAAGCTCGAGCAAAGGTATGTGAATTTAAACAAATTTTAATGCAATTTTAAGCCTTGATCAAGTGGCATCGATTATTTCCCTTTTATGAACACTTTTATGACCATCCATCATCCACTATTCTTTTAAAGAAAAGTTTCACTTATATTTTGGTTAGAATGATCACGTAGTGATAGGTGACAAAGTGATGATAGTAAGTACATTGAATGAGTCATGAGATTGTTGACAAATTCGACCTCAAGGCGACAGTCGATTCTCTTTTTTTAAATTGCTAGTAATTGACGGCAATTTGCGCAAAATATTCCTGCGAAGGGGACTAGATAAAGATTATTTCTTTTCTTCTGACACTGAAAATAAATTGGGCTAAATGTCATGGCTTCTGGGGGACTAAATGTGTAAAGAAATTAAAATTATGCCTGAAATAAGCAAATTAATGCAGGTTTATACCTGCGAATTTTATTGCAGGTTTAAGTGTTGAAGTAAAGCACAGTGTGTGTGTGGCTGTATGGCAACTTGCGTGACCTTTGAGTGGGTTTGAAGAAATCTTATCTTATTTAGTTCTGTATCAAACTATAATAAAATCTTGTATGCTTGCGTCGTGCACACATTATTGGACTGATGCGCTCAGTAGGAGAGCCTTAAGAATTAAAAGTAAAATGATGCGTTCTACTTCTCGATTTGGGAATTATTGTCAGAAACTTAGAAATTAGAATTTTAGTTCAACTTCAACGAACTTATTCTAAGATGAACATATTATCAAAACCATTATTCCACTTAGAGGCAGGAAGGAACTGCTGATACCAGGCTAAAATGCGTAAAATCGTAACCTACGCATAAATCTCCTAAATTTATTTGTAATGACTTTGAAAATGTTAAATGATTTTATTGTAGTATTCCACAAACTCGAGGCTCGGGTTAAATTTATATTGGTTAATACTTCCGCTGCAGTTCTACATTAATGGCATTTTGTTAAATTTTTATATTAATTTTTTATTTAGAATCATTCTAGATAATTTCAACTTGTAGTATGCACCGATAATCATCATTCCATTAATAATCAAAGTTATTGGTAAACAAAAAGCAGGATTATTTTATTAACTCCAAATTGAGTTTATTTAAAAGCCCAAATACAGGATATTGATTTTTTAGCAATCTGTGGTATGTAAATTGAATTCACCAGAAAGTTTTTCTAGATAGTTTAATTGAAAGCCCATCTTTAATAGTCTTGTATTTTTTGTGAGACCATTTGCACTACTTGTAAATTGTTAACGCTGGCTTTCATCAACAATGCATTTGACCCAAGGTAATCGCTGCAAATGGTGAACACAAAGCATCCAGTGCCCTAAAAGAAGCTGCCAATGTGATAGCCTCCTCACCACTAGCTCTGCAACTGCGCTATCTTCAAACGCTCTGTACAATCTCCGCTGAGAAGAATTCCACCATAATATTCCCCCTTCCCATTGACATTCTCAACACTGGCTCAATGGGGCGTGATGGAAACTCCTCAATAACTTCTCTAGATGGACATCACCGACATAAAAAGGCAATGGTCAAACAGTGGCTCCCTTCCATCACTCCAGATAATGCTTCAACCCCAAATCCTCGAGCTCTGTTGCCAGGTATGGGTGAACCTGACTCACCTATTCCACAGCCAGTACCTCCAAAGCTACCAGAGAGTCAACGGCAACGATATGAAGCTGCTGCAATTCTAACAGCAGCTGCTGTAGCAGGAGCGGCGAAAAAGTCATCAAACCCTTCTGCTCCAATAGCTACTAACAGTCCGCCACCACCTAGACCTCCTCCAAGGTCAAGTCAAGGTCATGAGGGGGTAGATAAAGAAGTTGAGGAAGGTCCTGATGACTATGAGGACACCTGTAGTGATTCCGTATAGAGTTCCGCCTTCCTTCAAATGGCCTTGTGCAGTCAACCTACTTCTGACGATAGTAATAATCCCCTTCACAACCTGGGCCCCCCTCCCTCCCTTCCCTCACCCCCAATCCAAACCATTGTATAGTTTCTCTGTTTATGAGTGAATAAAACTAAGACTATGGCACGAGATTGAATCTAAGCTGAACAAATCGATAATAATTGATTTCCTTTAATAGATATGAAGAGAAGTAGAGGGTGAAAATTGAAAATATGGACATATTGTGGATTGTTGTTGTTGTTGTTATTTATTTTGAAATAAACTGCAGTTGGTTTATTTTGCAAGACAGATATAGTAAATTACCCCGATTTCGACTCTGTCAACTAAGTTGCTATTCTTTCTTGCAAAGAATTGGGAGGTTTTAAAGGTTAAGGTTTGAAAAGTCAGTTTAAGTTAATGGTTCGCTTTTTAGGGTAATTTGGCTTGTTTTAACTAAAACAGTAATTTCCCATATTTTATGACCAGAAAATCAAATCATTACATTAATACAGGGTAGAGGATAGTAGAACAAATTATAAAATTATGCTCCGCTCATAATTCTCAATTGGCAAATAGTTGAAAATATAATTGAGAATGATTAAAAACCTTCTCACATGATAGTTGACGTTCAATGTAACTCCTGACAATTACCTTCTTTAATAAGCGAACTGAAACCATTAGGATGAAAGCAATGTATGTTAAAGATGAAATTCTTTGACCGATTACCTCTTGGTTCAAATGAAATTAGATGTCAAAAGGGATTCAATTAGTGAATGTCCTATTCTAGTGACCTTTACATGCATCGCCACAAACAAGCAAATATTAAATTAAAATATCTCATTGATTTTGATTTTTGATTTTTTAAACAGACGGCTGAATCAGCCAGGTAATACGTAGGTTTAAAGATTAAAAAAACTTTATGTCTGTCTGAGGGGGGGGGGAGAGATAAGGTCAACCTGATTTTGAGAAAATATGGGACAACTCCGGCGACATGACCTTAAATACATTATTAATTAGGAAGGTCAGTGCGTCTGCAAAGTGGTTGAGTAAAACTAGTTACCAATTTGCTGTAAGGGAACTTGACGTATTATTTATTTATATCAAATGTCAGGCGTTTTCCTAGTTATCAATGGCCTTTTAGTTGACTTCGGGCCTTGCAGAGGGGAGGAGGAACATCAAAGTGAGAAGAATTCGAGAGAGGGGGAATAGAAGAGCGATTCACAGATGTAAACGAAACAGGCAGGCACAAAAGCACAGAAAGGGTAAGATGAGCACTCTGGTAGGGGTCGAATATGACATACAGTGGGGGTGATGGTAATTTGAAGTGAGAAGTCAACTGCTCATTAATAGACTTTTTGCCGTATGATTATACGTTGCCCAGGGTGCACCACGAGGAGGGAACTTGAGGTAGATTCTGAATAAGATTCAATTTACACCTCCACGTATGTACTTTAATGCAAAAAAACCGAGGAATTTTCCCAAGAACTCTGGTTGATGCACTGTTCCGCAATTGCCTTAGGTGCAGCTGAGGTAATTAGCAACCATACTAATGAGGAGCACCAATTCAGTTAACCTCCCCCCCCCTGTTTTAGCCCGTAATAATTAATGCTAATAAAATGCCCAGTGACCGTCTGTTTGCACTCACCTTAAGCAAGCGATTGGGTCTTGGCCCTTCTATTCAGGTTGGTCTGCTTGTGTAGTTTACAAAAACTTGCCAAATACGCGGCCATTTTGTAAAATCAAGTAATGAGTTTTATCAGTGGATTTGCCACTTGGGTTTTGACGTAAATGCTGGTTTCAATATTGACATATCGTCGTAGAAAGTTGCGTCCATTATTTTTTTAGCGGTCCTGACATCAAAATTTTTTCTTTTTCAGCCCAAATTTCTCATATATCTGTTGGAATTATGGCTTACAAACTGAAAAAAAATCCATTCAACTCTCATGGACTTCCTCAATTCTCAGTTTGACGCAAAATCTCATCGAAATCTTGCCTTTATTTGCCTTGGAAATGGTATTCGTGTCGTTATGGCAAAAAAACAGTCATCATCACATGGGGATTAAAAGAGGAATTTTGCCTAAACCCCAAATAGCACCACTATTTCCCACATAGCCCCTTTTCCGACACGCATACACGCCGCTAATAAACGCATCATCGTTCTGTCTGCATTGGAGCAAACCAATGCACTGGAAGGTAAATATTCAAGCATATTTTTTCTGCATTGGTAAATTATGCACATTTGGAGTTGTTTTGTGAGTTAAACAAAGAGTAGTGATAGCTGAGCCCTTTCGACTTTAATTCCAACAAAGAAGGGAGGAAGGGGGGGAAGTGGCATTTTTCTGAGGAGGTAGTTGAAAGCTACCAATTTGGTGAAAACATTATTATTCAGATCAAATGGCAGACGTTTTGATGGTTATCATTAGCCCTTTAGTTGACTTCAGGCTTCACAGAGGGGAGGAGGAACATCGACGGGAAAAAAGTCGAGAGTGGGGGGGGGGGAACAGAAGAGTATTTCAAAGATGTAAAAGAGACAGAGACACAAAGGTAGAAAAAAGGTGAGTTGAGTACTGTGCAAGTAGTCGAATATGACATACAGTGGGGTCATGATAATTTGAAGTGAGAAGTCAACTGCCGGTTAATAGACTTTTTTGCCGTATGAGTATACGTTGCCCAGGGTGCTCCACATGAAGGTAAGTCTATCGCATACCCCTCGATGAAAAAATTGAGGGAAAGAGAAGTCGTTGTGATACCAGCGATTAAACTGCGGATTGCCAACTGGAACGGAGAAGTAGATGAGCCACTTTAGAACAAGTTGACAAGGAGCTAGTAGAAGTGTGGAGAGTCGTAGCGCTCATCGAAGTTGGAATTAGCAAATTTGGAATTAACTTTGGAATCTGGCACTGAATGCAAGCTCGCCTTTTTCATGGTGCGGACTAACTGACTAAAAGCCATGCCAAGGTTAGAGAGATGACACTAAAATCTAGCACTAAGTTGGTGACTATATTTCTTCAACAGAAGTGATCATTTATTCAAAGTTGGGAAACGCTTTTGTAATTGACACGTTCTGTATTCACTTTGAAGAATTTTAACTGATTTGTAAATTTCAAATCATAATAGTTTTATCTGTACGTATTCAATAGAGAGCGATTTCTGGGCATGTTGAAGTTCGTCGTTGATGCATCTGTAGGTAAATATTTATTTATTTATTCATTTCAAATGGCAGGCATTTTGATAGTTATTACTATCCCCTCAGAGAGAGGGAGGAACATCAAAGTAACAGAAAGCCGAGGGGTGGGGAACAGATGCAAAAGAGGAAGACACAAATGCGGAGAAAAGGCATGATGAGTACTGTGAAGGGGTCGAATATAACATACAGTGGGGTCATAGTAATTTGAAGTCAAAATTCAACAGCCAGTTATTAGACTTTGCCCGGTGTGCCCGGAGTTAAGTCTATCGTACACCCCCTGTAGGTAAATATCCGATAACAGAAAGTCTTTCTACCTTCTGTTACCATTTGTGAGTTTTCTCAAAATATATCGATTCCTTTGGTTTCAGCCCTATTCTGAGGAGTTCGATCAATCTAATTTAAATCTTGAATGTGTTTAAGTGATTACAAGGGAGTTTAGAACATGGCATTAGATCAACAACGTCCAAATCTTGAGTTCAGCCATTTCAACAGAACATTCACGGATTCTCTAGGCATGAGAGGGAACACTAAACTCACCAAACTGAACGCGAAAAGTTTGAAAAGTTTGATCTAGCAAGAAAAAGTGCATTAATGCCAATTATTTCCCATACTTTCTCTGAATAGCCTTGAATTTAATGCACATGCTTGAATACAGTAGGCAGTAATGAGAAAAGCGGCTGCATGACCATTTTTCTTCCCGCGTTTGTTGTTTTGTGTAAAGTAAAGCAATTAACTAAACAATGTCACTTCCGATTTCCATCAAGTAGGATTTGCAGCCGAATCATAGTGGAGATAAAGCTGTCACTCACAATTATCCACTCGCAGTTTGCACACGTAGCCCCGACTCTCCTTCCACACTTATCTTTCACAGCCAGTCCATCAATATGAATTCTCATTCTTCTGGTTTGTAAACGTCCGGTGAATCATATTAGCCTCTTAGATAATGAGATTGCTGTCAGATTGTCGTCGAAATAGTAAATTGGATTTTAAGGAACAGTTTCAATTATCTCCTTCCATACTTCTCCGTAAATAGTCCATTATCCACTGTAGATGCGGCCATTCATGACGTGAAGGTCCACCAAGACGTCTCCAAGTATTTGGCCCTCACAGGAAACCACTCAGTTCTGAAATTCAGTGTGCTCGGTCACTAGACAGGTTTAATTGGCTACCTAAGAGGACATGAAAAAAATAAGTTTTTTTTCTCAGCTCCTCCAGGAATCTGAAATCATCCACTGGAATAACATCTCAAGATGCCTTGATCAGTATAAATCATTTAAAGCTGAACTCACGCCTGCTTATCGATCAGAGTGGATAATGTCAAGCAGCCAATGAAATTCGGTCTTGCTAAATACTTTGCTCACTCCAAGAGAACAGTTTAAACGTAGTTGAGCGAAACTAAACAAACGACCTCATGTATCTCCCCCCCCCCACCTCCCGAACCCCTTCATGTGCTATTAAACTGAAGTTCTTCGGGCTTATTGGATCGACCCAAGGAACCCTGCGTCTTATTAAATGTGACCTGAGGTTATATTTATTTATTTCAAATGGCAGGCGTTTTGATAGTTATCATTAGCCCTTTAGCTGACTTCGGGCTTCACAGGGGGAAGGAACATCAAAGTAACAGAAAGTCGAGGGGTGGGGAGCAGAAGAGTGATTTACAGATGTAAAGAGACAGGCATGAAGGCAGAGAAAAAGTAGGATGAGTACTGCGCCAGAAGTCAATCGCCAGTTAATAGACTGTTTTGCCGTATGAGTATACGTTGCCCAGGGTGCACCACGTGGAGGTAAGTCTATCAAG